TAATTGTATAAGAACTTAAGTTAATATATTATATATAATCACATAAAAATATAGATTCAACAACTTTCTATTTTATAAACAAAAACATGATGCGTTGTAGAATATTAAAGTCACCAAATATTACAGGAAATCTTGAATAATCTGATTTGTTCTTATATTAGTGAAAATAAAGATGCTCAATTTATAAAATTGATGTTAATTAGATCACAAGAAATTATCTTATTAAAAATAATTGTGTTAATTATAGGTTAATAGGATGCATTTTACGAAAGAGAAACGTTTATATCTTTTTTTTTTATTTAATGACACATAAGTACGTATTGTGTTCTGTGAATGAATCAGTGAATGAAAGAAGTGAAATGCATTAAAGAGGCGTTAATAAGTTGTTACAGTTCGTTGCTTTGCGTCAGTTTTGTTTCGTCTGCTTTCAGAATTCTAATTAGACTGTACCGAGCGTATGTGTGAGAAATCTATACAAGCAATCGCATTTCGCAGACAGAAAACGGAATGAAATGAAAAAGTATGCAAATATCACTTGACAAGTATGCAAAACGGAAAGAAAGAAAAATTGCACAATTGACAAAAAATGTAAATAGTATTAGGTATTAGTCATTACTAATATTTGATAAATAGTAATGTGAACGTTTTGTTTATGTATGTATGTATTTATTTATTTTTTGAATAAAATTAACAGAATCTACAGAAAATATGTTTGCAATGTGTGATTACTAATTCGATTTGTCTTATAAAATATAGAATTATAGAAACTACAACCTAAATAATTTGCAAAAAGTTACTTTTTCGATTTATACTTTTCTGTTTGTTACACAAAACTTTTACGTAAAATGTACTTGTAAAATATATAAAATAAACTAGAAAATAATTTAATCTAGAAATGTTCCTTAAAATTTAAGTTGTAGAAAGAAAAGACAATCATGTAGTAAAATGTATATTGACTGTAGAAAGCGAATATGTTTCACATATAATTTAAACGGATGGTCAAATTATGTACAAATACCAATTAAGAATTACTTACACTCACGTACGCTATGTATTATTTTTCACACGTATCTACTTTATAGGTAATAAAACATCCAGCTTACAAGTGACATATTTTAACCACAAAACAGTTGGTATAATATGGTTTCTATGGTTGAAGACAAAAATAATTCAGAATCATAAGCTTTGTATACGTCTGGATACGTCGACCATTGGTGGTACGTCCGTAGATATTCATGAGGTATCGGTTACTGCGCCACAGCAGAAAATCCTATTAGAGAATATCAAGAGATCGAGAACCTGAATGTTTTTTAATTATTATATCCAAGGATGTGATACGGCGTTGGTTTGTATTAAGCGAGGATCCACTGTATTTGCTTTGGGCATATTTATTCAGCGTAGAAATTTATTTCGATGATAATGTAAATATCTACAAGAGAAAAATAATGAATTTCGATAATATTAATATAATTAATGTTATACATACCTTCTAACAATATCTTACTAACATAGTATGAAAATAATGACAAAAAAATCCATATACAATATGTGATACAAGAAGTGATTCTTAATACTGAAAATCTTAAAAATAGCTTCCAGCAGATCGTTCTATAAATTTTTGCATATTTTAAATTACTTTTATTAAAAACAATTATGAACTTTAATAGTCAAATTAGAATTGATGCTGATTTAAATAATAATATTTTCATGACGATGACGATTAGAAAAAAAAACTAAAATCACCATTGGGTTTTTGTGGTGAGTATTGAATTGTAAATTATATTTTGACTCAAGGAACAACAAAATTTACTACCATAGTTGCGGCATATTTTGTGACCAACAAATTGTGCTGCATTAAAAATACGATACCAAAGCAATTTTGAAGTGCAAGCTGCCACCATTTCAAAGCTTTAAAGTGTCCGTTGGTCAAATATTATATCATCCAAAAAACATAAAAAGTTTGGAAGTCGTCCGCCGCTCATACATAAAATATCCCATTGTGCACGCCGAACTCCCGTCTTTCGGAAATATGCCCTTATGGTTGAAAAAGTTGCCGAATCCTGCTCTATATAATGTGTATTGCAGTACGAAGAATAATTTATTGAATTAAAATTTAGAATTTATTTTGGATGGAAAAACTTTGATGGTTAGTTTAGTCAAGCAGTATGTGCAGTAATGATATCCACAATTAATATTATGCAATTATTTAAATAAATTATGTGATGGTTTCAATAGAGTTACTATAAAAAATAATGTTAAAAATTTAAAAAAAAAATTCACACTGGGATTAAAATAAATAAAAAATGTGAACAAAAAAAAACAAAAAATCAGTACGAAATAATAAGTCGTCGAGGCGGGTGGGCATCTCGCTGATATCTACAGCACCTCCGTTGACTCCATTACGGCCGTAAAATAGTGGAAATCCACCAGAGGCTAATTGAAGAATTCTTCTGCAAATGGAAAATTAAAGTTAACAGACGTCGCAATTAAAAAAAAAAATAGTCACCTACATAACAAAATCGGATACAAAAGTTGCCAGTGCGAATCTGCCAGTAACAACAAATAATTGAGCCGATAAGCACCAAAAGGGTGGCAGAAAAAGGACCAAGGGATTTACATCAATAATAATTGATATAAATCTATTGAAAAAACTTGATTATCAATATTTATAATTAATAAAATTTGAGTTATTTATGTTATTATCGTAAGTCAAGGGATATCAAAACAGATTGGAAAATCACCCTTATATTCTATCCTTAAACTTAAGACAATTGTTACATAGACTAAAAATGAATAAGACACTTGATCTCCCCTTTAGATTTTTAAAATACAATATTTTTTTAGTTAACAATTATTATTATTGTTGAAATTAATATTTATTAATATTTTATTTTGTTATTTGGAAGGTTTTCAATGGAAAATTACTCCGCTCTTTGTTATTTTACTATTTTTTTTATAATTCAAACATTGCCAGCATGTGGCAGATTGTAAAAAAATAACACAAAACAATAGAAAACGCAAATGTATAGTAAATCTTTTTCAATTAGAGAAGCTTTTGACAAAACAAAAATAAATTATTCAACTCTGTAGTTTGAATTAGTACTTATTTTTTGTAAATGCATTACGAAAGAAAATTAAGGCATTGTTAAAAATACAACTTGTTAGTAAGTTAAATTATCAAAAATCTATGATTATGATGAAAATATTGATGATGGAATCTACGTTTGAGCAGAAGAGTATGACAATAATTTATTTATCGAAGAAAATATTTCAAACATTTGTCACTTGAAGTAAGTTTTGTTATTTATGGTAGGATTGACACATTATCTTGGGATGGTCCCTGGAGAAATGACTAATACAATGAAAAAGAGGATCGTTGACTTCCTTACACTGGTTCAAATGTAATATTTATGAATATTTATGAAGTATGCAGAAATGGTGTAGATATTAAAGAAGTACAATGACGATGATATAATGAAGATTTCAGATAAAATAAAACTGGTAGTTTTTTTTATAAAGAATCAAAATTATTTTTAATAATAATATTTATTGCAACAATAAATTAAAAAATAAAAATAAAATAGATAAAACCTTTGACTTGAAATATTTGCTACTTTATTCTGTAAAATATATTGACAATAGTCTAAATATTATTTTACTAATATGTTGTAAAGATATTGAAGATTATAACATAAGAAATAAATACCAAGCATTTGAAAAGCATCTCATTTTCTCAACAAAATCTAATTTACGTCCTCCACCTTTATATGTCTCATCCACATTGATTTTTACAATATTTACTTATGATCCTTGCCTATAGGAAATTAATTCCTATCGAGCTACATTCTATTTTTCATTCATATGTTGGTCATCATCAGCCACACCTCAAACTCTTCAAACTCATCGTACATTCCGTAACAATTATTAAAAATATAATAGAGATTGGAAAAACGTTAGGACGATTAATGCATTTTATGTTGAAATTAATTTTTAGAATAATAGCAAAATATTTAATTGTTATATATGGCACCTACGTTTTTATAATCTGGTTGTAATTATATAAAATAATTTGATACTATATATATATTTTATAAAATACTACCTAAAAAACTTCTGATTAAATATGTAAATATAAAATAATCCATGCAGGAAATATAACGTAACATATTTTGATGAATTTGAAGCGTCTTAAAAACGGTTGTATTACGTAATCTAAAAAGGTGAACTATTAAATTATATACGTGGGAACGATTTTATGTAATTTCTAGTATATATCTGCAATATTTACAAAAAAAATATATGTAAAGTAAGAAAGAACATCATAATATATTTTAATTAAATGATCAAAGATATTACGATTATATGAATAATTTGACACAAGGAGTGAATTAGCTCATTAATTCTTCATCTTTTATTGTACATTAATTGTATATTGTAAACTCCGTTAAATCTAAACAGGATCTAATTTTGGTTTTGACTCATTCTATTCTAGTCTGCGTAAATAATAATGTGTTATGTGATACATTTATAATATATCCTGTTTAAAATTTAATAGTATTTAACTTATATCGAAATAAATATATATTGACTATATAATAGAAATTTTCTTCAATAATACAGGGATACTTAGAAAATTAATCTCAAAAATTCTAGTAGAAAGGTCAACAATCTTTTAGTTCACATGTTTCTAATAATATCTCAAATAGAAATAATTTTATTTCTTGCAATAATCTACGAAATAATATAAACAGAATTATATGTTTTGCATGGATGCTAATTAAATGCAGGTGAGTACGTTAATTTTGGACTTTCTGAATAAAATGGTAATTGCGTTTCGGATGGGCGATGGCGCGATATGCCGTGAGCCCGGTTTTGCAAAGGAAGAAGAAGTAAAGTAACCAACAAGTAACCTTGCATGGCCGACGCGGAGTCAGCATGTGGGGGCTTTAACTATATAAACCTCTAGACAGGAACCATCGAGTTTACTGTTGAAACCTCTTTGTGTTTTACGGCACACACATCAACAACCAATTCGTACTACCTGTTCAGTGCTCCAAGGAATCATGAAGTCCATCGTAAGTACATGAACACACCCAAATATTTAACAACTAATCAGTGTACATCGATTACAACAACAACAAAATTACTTCCGCGTTTCAACACCAAAAAATACAATTATTTAAATAAAATTGCGAGTAATAATTAAAGCTCATTTATTTTTTAATAATCAGTTATAAATTAAAAAAAAAACTACTACTATTTTATAAATACATAGGAAGTTAATATATTTATTATATATAAAAGAGAATGTAAACATAACTTTTAAGAGAATTTATAATATTTATTGCAACATTTTATCAGACAGAAAAATAAAGAACAAATATGCGGGTTAAAATATGAATAATTTATCCGATTTTGTTGTTTTATTTTTGAATTTGCTTATACATTTTCATGTTATTCTTGTAATTTAAAGTTTTTAAATAAATTTTATTAAACTAATTTGAATACCCTCAAAAATTCATTAAATTAGTTCATTTATATAAGAAATTGTACATAAACAGTTATTTTCGATTACAAGATTTTCCATGCTTTGAGCAATTGCACGAGCTACTAAAGACTACCATTTATGACTAATAAGATAAATATACTTTATTGAATACATTAACTTGTAAACTTAACCTTTAAAAAAGTGCATAATAACGAATAACGGTATAGTATATAAAGAGGTTATTTTATAAATTGAGAATTAGTAAATTAACATTACTAATTAGCAATAATTTGTTGCAAACGAAATGGCATCGACATTGCCTTATTGAAAAAAAGAAATTTGTATAATTTAAAAACGAACAATGATTTAAATAAAACCTAAATATATAATAAACCATAATAGTATTAAAAAAAGAAATGTTAAAAATTGAAATCCTACTTGTATTTCATACGTGTTAGCTTTTACATAATTGCATCATTATATGACATTTATTTGAATTTGTTTTACAAGTTACACAAGGTTGATGATTTAAGAAATTAAAAGAATCTCAGTTATGCATCTCGAACATGTATTCTGGATTAAGCATTTTGGAATAATTTTAACTATTTCACAAAGCATTCCCAGCACATGAGTCACACATTTATTTTAACGAAACATTACAATTTAATAATAATTTTAATTACGTAAGTGGCTTAGTAAGTAATTATCTTGAAGTGTTGTATAATTTATTTTTGTTGCTGTCTTTAGTGCCTTTTACTTTTTCCTTGTTGTGTGTCTTACAATGAAAAGAAAACAGAAGCATGCATAAATAATGCATTACATTGAAGTTTCCGAATAATCTATGCAGAAATAATTACATTTACTACTAAAATTATTATGTTTTTTTATTTATAAGGAAATTTCTTTCCAACAATAAAAACATCAAAATCTACATATAAAGAAATATATTAGATTTTTTCAAATGAAGGTAAAAAAATAATGACTAAAATAAGTAGTGTTAATTATATATAGAAATAGTATTAGTTTCGCAATATTTTGTTTTGTGCACAAATTATTATTTAAACGAAAAATAAATAATATTACGTAATTCAATAAATATGTTATTTTTTTAATTTATTCCAAACTATTAATTTTTTCAATATTTTCATAATTAATAATTATCATTTTCATTGAATAGCGGTTTTAAGCTATTTGTTAAGTATTATTTTTGAATAAATGTCTTACTATTATGTAAATAATCCAATTTGTTTATAAACAAATATTACGGAAGAATTCGTCCACCACGTCGTGTTTGTTTTCACTTGCGTGTTTTTGTTTTGACCATGGCTGGAATAGATTTAGCTCAATAATATAAATAGATATAAATCGAACAGTTCGGAATGCAGACCGAAACGACCATCACGTATTCGGTTTTCTACGATTTCCGCATTTTATGTCGATTCAAATTTTTATTTTCCATTTATATTACGCAACGGATTCTTATATCATTTGCATCGTTGACTGAATTGCCAAATAAAAATATCAATTGCAAAATACCACGAACATTTTACATGTTTTTTTTCCTATTCATATATTTAATTAAAAACTATATTTTATAGATGTGCAAATATTCTTCAAACAAAACATATTTTCGCAAGTTTTCCATTTGAATAATGTTTTAGTACTTAATATATTTATTCGTTTTACCGTTCCAACGATTTTTTTAAATTAAATAAAATAATGTCAATTTATAGTTAAAATGAAAGGAAATAAATCTAATAAGTAAATTTAATCTTTAATTTCTATAATTAATTGATTATACCATTAATTAATTATCGATTAATTTAAGATTACCAAGAACCCATATTTATGTATTGCTATGTACATTTTACATTTTTGAACTTTTGATAAAATATTTTCTTATTATAAATTGATTGTTTATTTTTCAATGAAATACACGAATTAATTGAAATGTAAATACTTAAAAAATAATTTGTCGTATTATATAGTGCATTAAACAATTTAGAATGTTGCTTTCAAAATAATAAATATTGCAAGACATTTCTACGCTTTTACTGTTCTGTGCAAGGTCGAATCAAAATTTGTAAACATGCAAACTAATGTATATGTGGTTTATTCGTGAACGACATTTTTATTGTTACTTTTTTTCAAAATAGAAAAATTATTATCTTTACCTTTCGATTTTATAAAATCTAACATACACTATGTTTGTATAATCAATTAAAACTAATTTAATATAAAACTTACTGTCGAATTTCTTATCTATATAATATATAGCCAATAAATGATAGATTGTAAATTAAACAATACATTTTATAGAAAAATAGTCTAATTTCATATTATATGCAATTCAGTCTTATAATTTTAGTATATTTTGAATAATATAAGTATTTTACATTTTTTTAATAAAAATTGTTCTGTTTACTATAATATTAATCTAGATAAGTTAATTACAAATATTAAAGTTATTCAGCACTTCGTACTATTACTATTTTTTAATAGCTATGTAACTAATATTGTATAATGTTGCATACGCACTTTACAAATATATTAAAAAAAAATGTTTAGGTCATTTCTATTGTTACAAGTAATATTAATCTGTTTTTATATTGCAGGTTGTAGCGTTGGTGATGGCTACAGTAGTAGTAGCTCAGCAGCAACAGTACACGACACCTGTTCCGATTTTGAAGCAGATTAACAAACACAATGAAGATGGTTCTTACAGTTATGGGTATGAAGGAGCTGATGGTTCTTTTAAGATCGAGTCCAAGTATCCGAACGGCGAGGTTTACGGCAAGTACGGATACATCGACGACAGTGGAAAGCTGAGGGAGATCGAATATGGAGCGAGTCGTAGAGGATTCGAGCCAGCTGGCAACGAGATCAACGTACCACCACCAACCCTCCAGATCAACCAACAGGCTGCCGCCCCATTGGCACCAAATCAAGAGGACGATGGTCAATACAGAGAGGATCCCAGCGTTTACTACAAGGATGAGAAATTCAACAATAACAACGTGCAATCCTACCAACAACCTCAAAGCTACCAACAGCCACAAAGCTATCAACAGCCAAAGACCTACCAGCAGCCACAGACCTACCAACAGCCACAGACCTACCAACAGCCACAGACCTACCAAGAACCACAAACCTATCAACAACCACAAACCTACCAAGAGCCACAGTACCAACCAACCTACCAATCAACTACTCGCAGGCCTGCATACCAACACGGATTCTTGAATCAGCAACAGCAAAGCAGATCTTACCAACCACAGCAGAACTACAACTCTCAGCCACAGCAATCCTACAACTCGCAACCACAGCAGAGCTACCAACCACAGCAGAACTACAACCCACAGCCGATCTACAGCAACCCAGCCCATCCGAACTTCAACCCATATGCTGGACACCCAGCCAAAAACTTGGACATTTCTTCCGGCTCTTACAGCGTCAACTACAAGAAATAGAGTCAATCACATAGATTTAGATTATTTATCTCCTTAATTTAGATCTTGAATTTTTTTTACAAATTGAAGAGAAGAAAAAAAGAATGTCCTAGTCTTTAACGAAAATGTATTTTCATTTTATTTTTTATGTAAATAAATAAATATAAATTTATAAGAATTGCTTTAATATTTGACAATTAAGTGGAAAGTTTAACAAGGCGAGATTGAAATGTTTTATATAGGATACAAGAATTCCAAGGTTTCGAGGCCGGCTCCACCCAAGCACTCGCAGAACACGCATTGTACGGTTGCTGGCCAACCTCAAGAACACATTACGTATGTGTATATATAAATCATGTCGAGTGCTCTTGCATTTGTGTTTGTGTTTTCTGCACGAAGCGGAAAAACGTAATGGAATTCCTTTAAATTTTCATCAGTTTCATCATAATTTTATAAATATTATGGATTGCTTGCTGCAGAAAGGTCGACTGCTCTTACCGAACTCACTCCAATTACCAGAGGCTGACATTTAAGAAATTGGACTGCTCGGTTTTAAAAAGAAAACTAAAATTCGAAATCGTCCAAAATCGCCCGAATAGTATACATATCTGAATTAATTAATCATTGCTAAAATAAATTAGTCGTTATATAAAAGTATACTGGGAGTGCCAAGTGACAGTTAACTACTCGATATTTGACCATTATTTATAAATTTCGGAGCTGACCTTCGTACTTGTTCACGATTTATATAACACATTTTAATTGAAACTCCCACAAATAATAATTATTTAAACTTCCTTAATTTTTAACATTGACCGTGAGTTCCTTATTAGATTTGTTTCAAATAAAATAAATATTTTTTTTCAACTGATGTTATAACACTGAATATTTTTTAATATAAGAAATATAACATTTCATTCTATTCGTTCTTTCATTATTAATATGTTATTTCTTTGTTAATTTAATCTAATTGAAAGAGAAATAGCTTCATCGGTATGTTATGTCATTGTATTAATATTAATTTAAATTACGGTTTTAATTAAATTATTTATGTCACGGGAAAATTAATATTCAATTTATTGTTTATGTATATTAATATTTATAGACTTATCTTGTTTTCCCCTCTTTGAATCATCGATAATTACAACCTGCTATCTGATTTCAGTTAAAGTAACCACAAAGATAAAGAATGAAAATGTGTTATTTTAGTTAAGAAGTGAGATTAATACTAAAAAGATTAATTAGATATTTGAGAACTATTGCATATAATATAGTATAGTTGATAATGTAGTAGAGAGGGGACTGTCTAATGAATAAATTTATAATTAAATGTATTAAAAGGAGGGGCACTCTTATATATTAGCAAAATTAAATGTAGTACGTTAAACTAATTCAAGATACAAATCAATAATTATGTTATTTGACATTCAATGAAATAATTAGATAGTTTGATTTACAAGGTTTTGTTCAATATTTACATATTCTTTTAATAATTTTTAATATTCGGGATTATTATTATTATATTTATTCGTTTCTATGAGTTTTAACTTAGAAATATTATGTAAAAATGATTACATTAAAGATCATGTTTTACAGTAAACATAAAATATTTATTTTTTTATGAGATACCTTTATAAATTTGATGTAATATATTATTCAAATTTTTCGAAATCAATTAAATATTTTTAATACATAATTATATAAAAAAATATTGAAATATGAACAATTATATTAGATATTTCATTATTGAGAAAATTATCTACTATTATCTACTATTACAAATTTTTAATATGATAAAATTACAAAAATATTCATGGCCGAAATTACAATACAATTAATTCATCTTAAAAGTGAAAGAACTGCTGTTGTTCTTAGAGGAATCGCGGGATATTGAGCAGGTAACAGTAGTGCAGTGTGTTCTCAGCAAGGTTCCGTTAAATGTGATAAAAAATATCCGGATTCTAACGGAGCATCTTGTATACTCTAGTCATGTGGAAAGTGAACTATTTCACGAAAAAATCAAATCCATTAAAGTCACTTCAATGATCATTGAAAAAAAGTTATAGTAGAGATAGCCCATGAACATCAAAACATATATTATTTGGAATAGAATATTCTCGCATCCTTAGGATATTCTGTCTGCATTTAACGAGTCCAAATCATCGAAAAAAATCGCAGTTCTTCAGAGAATTTCAGTCAATAAACAAGCATTAACGGAAAAGGAAGGTTTCCAAGGTGTTCTACCTGTATGTCTTTTGAAAGCTGAATTAAAATAATTCACACAAATTTCAATGACATCATTATAAGGTAGTACCGCCTGGTGAGGTAGCTCAACGTTCCTCTTCTGGCATTCTACAATGGGCGAATACCAGTTTCAGAGCTGCTCCACCTGATCTGCAAAGCTCCGGCCGAATCCTGAGAGATTAACGACTTGACGGTTCCCATGAAGTACTTAGTTTAGTTAATGGAAGATTGCCTTCGCCTCGGGTTTATCTACGTCTGATGTAGATGTTACTTCAGATGCAGTTGATGCAGTGAAACGACAGATGGATCCATTATCCTGTTACCAGACTAACCAGCTCTCTCTCGTGCTCGATCTCAATCGATCTGCGATCTGCGGATAGGATCATCAGATAGTCCAGAGCCTGAACAACATCTAGACGGCGGATTTCCAGGTTTGCGGGACTGGATTGTTGGTCCTCTTGAAAGCACTTTCTCTTTTTCTTGATGTATCTGAAGAACTCAGGTGGCAGATCCAGGTGGAATGTCCAATCCGTGAACGATGCTTTAGTATCGCCTTCTATCCAGTCGATTGCGATAAAAAAATATAATCAAAGTCAACTGCTACAAGCAGTTGAATTTTATACAAAAGCAAAAAGGCCTTAAATTACTACTCGGCTGATAGCGTGAAGCTCTGTCTAAAAGATACTGCAGTGATTCTTCAACCTCAGTTTGCGGTGATGAGCTTTCGTGCTACCGATAAATAGTGTAAGAAATTTTGACAAATTTTGTTAGGCCTTTAAAAAATTATCCGCAAAAACAAAATCGCACTGCACTATTGCAGTCATTTTTCCTTCATTATTAATAACTCTGTTTTAGAGCAGGTTATTGATAATAGCAATTGTGAAAACATTAAAACATTAATAACAGTAATAATAATAATAATAAGTAATTAATACCGAAAAGTATATTTGTATTTCAAATTGAATCATTTAAAATTAACTATAACAATTTTTTTCATTACAACACTTAACTTGTTTAATAATAAATATATTTTTACATATTTATATTATCGTACACAATTGTTTCAAAAGTCTCGATTCGTGTATTATGGAAAACGGACAGGACTCGGGAAGGAAATAGAACATGTTTTTTCTAATTTCCTCATTTGCATGAGACTTTACATTACATTCTAGCCATTCCTCTTTGTGTCGGTGCAACGAATGCATACAGAATTAAAAAGGGATTTAATGATAGGCGTTGGTGGCGTTCGTAGTTGAGTGGAGAGCGAAACGAAATAGAACGTGTCAGAAGGTTTCGTGTGACATTATTATATTGAAATTTTCACTTTCTTTCGTACTCGATCGCATTCATTCAAAGCACGACTCCAACAATAAACAGAGTCGAGACCTCTTTAACATATGTCAGACACACAGAGCTGAGATCGTCGTTGGAATCACCAATCATATGGTAATTCCCATCGCGTTTCGATACACACGGCTTTCATTCAATTAGCGTTAATTACATTAATAACTTCCTTCTTTTATAATTATTCATCGTGCACCGAATATTTAAAACAAAAACCGCAATCGTTACCTGTGGACATGTAAAACTGGTACTCTTACAATATGATTTCACTCTAACACTATTAAAGAATTGCATACAAACCTAACACAATACAACGGTATAGTTATAACTTGAATTTTCCATGAAACACAATGTTTCTACAGTTTCCTAAATTACAACTAGTTTTAATATATTAAAGGATCTTATAAAGTAGCAGTAATGGAATAAAGTAAAACCAATGCTATGAAACGCTTAATTTGTAATCTGTTCGTAATTACATGATTTAAAAATACACGACGTTTCATTAGGAACATTGGAAATTTATTATAAAATGTATATTCCCTACTTGAAATGAATTGCATCACTCCTTTTTTTAAATTTAATTCGTCGCTTGAAATAAATAAATGTACAAGAAAAAAATAGTTAATTTTCAAAAGTATTCAAATAAAACCGTGGGCAAGGCTACCCAGAGAGAATTATATAAGACAACACAAATTCCGTGGCACCACCGAAGAAAGCGTTCCAAATAAAAAGTCACCAAAAAAAATGTATATCAACGCATTTTTTGGGTACAGCACCAACCTTGAACTCATTCATATTAATCCCGCATGTTAAATATATTTCATTCGATCAGGTGAAATAACATCGAATATTTAAATTTTCATTATGCAATTACATCTGGTCGACGAAAGCCATTCCTCTACAATTATATTGCACGGACATATTATGCAACCTTGATCCATATGAAAATTGCGGAGCAAATAACTCTGGTTTAATGGCCTATTTTCTAAGTAATTGTTACGGCAAGTATTTAGTAATTTTACAAGGAATTTAATTTATAAAAATTCATCCACGTTGCTCAATTTTGTAAAAGTTCTTGCCTCAAAATAAGTATTTGTATTTACAAATTACAGGTTGGTTGATATTTATTAACTGAGAACTTTATACATTGAAATTGCTAAATGATAGAAAGCATAACAATGGTGGTATACAATATCATTTTTTATTTGCGATCAGTTGCAAAAAGCGCACGACCTTGGATTTTGCCCTTTTTCCATTTGAATAAATATTATTTAAGTTTATTATTGCAAATTCAAGATTTATATACAGTATGCTATTTACTGAATTGCGGATTTTCTTCCTACACAAATATCTACGTATCAATGAGTAAAGTTTGTATTATACATATAATGTTAATTGAAACTACATTTTTTTTACTATTTGTTTGAACGAATGTTTAAGTTTCCATA